ACCCTGGAGCCATGAATTTCACAATTTAGGTAGAGGACTCGGTGTTCATTACAATCATGCCAACAGTTTGACTGCTTTATGTCCAGCAGTAAAGAAGATTTTTAAAGATTTCATTAATTTTAGTGGTTTTGGTCCCACCCTAGGGGGGCGGGCATAAAATTTACAATTTCTGTTCCCATTCATTCATAGATGCTGTATACCAAGGTTGAATTGATTCAGTGGTTTCAGAGAACCTGAAAATGTTCAAATGTTAACACACTACGACGGACGAAAACGGATAGCAATAGGTCACCTCAGCGACTCAGGTGACATGGGCAGGCCAAACAGTTCCTCTTTTGAACCGTGGAGTTTACTGGGCAAAAAAAAATCCCAAATCAGAAATTGTTTACTTTTGTCAAATGAGTGTGGTATATATTATTATAATAACCTCCATTGTAAACCTGTCTATACAAAATGGTTCTACAGACCTGTGAATCCCCCTGCTCAGCAGTGCCACAGGTTGGATCGTCGTTGGAGCCTCAAAGTAGCATGAAAAGCCTCATTGTATACTACTTACCCCTCTCTGATTAAAGCACTTAGTCCATGCTTTGTAAACGTATTAGATGTTTCCATCATTTCATGATTATAAAATTTTCTGCTTAACATTTAAGTGACGTTTTAGAGGTATCTGTATTGAATCATTTCATCCGTTTAATTTTTAACTTCCCCATTCAGGCTTATTACATTAAGCTGTGGCTATATGTGGCGTAGTTTATATTGGGTTTCAGCCACCCCCTTTTATGTATAATCTATTAGTCTGTTATAGAATGTATGATCAAACTCTTGGATTTGTGTAATCCGGAATGTGGTATATCTTAGGTTAAACTTTTATCACTGCTGAAACCCGCCAAATAAACTTGTTCATCGTTTCACCTCTCCTGTTTTTAGATTCTGCCAGGCCAGGGTAACACATGTTCAAGATACGCTATATTCCAGGAAGGCATCCATTAAGACAACAAGAAGTGAAACTATTGCAATGGTGTGGGCAGTGTTTCTCATGTCCGGCGTATTATGTACAAGTGCCCAGTACATTTATCCGAAAGAAAACAGTCGCTGTGCCAGTAATGGAGAGACAAGGCTACAAATTCCAGAACTACTCATCCAACAAGGGAGGATACAAGACTCTGTAGATTCCTTAATGCGAATGGTGAAAAACGCGAGGATGATGTAAGCAGGACTGTAGATTCCTTAAGGCGAATGGTGAGGAGACTCGAGGATGATGTAACCAGTACTGTAGATTCCTTACGGCGAATGGTGAGAAGACTCGAGGATGATGTAACCAGTACTTCTTGTTTAGATATTAACTTTTACTTAATATGTAAAATTTTAGATTTCCATGTTTTGTCATTTTAAATAAAAATAACCCATTCATGCTATAAATACATTTAATCATTCATTATCCGTTATAATTTAATACAAAAGAAAGTGGATCGCTGAAAAATAATATTATTTGGTTGTATTAAACTAAAATGATCTAGAAATGAAAATATATTTTCTTTATCGCGTTTTGTTCTGCTAAATATACTAGAAGAATTATATATATAAAAGGAAATGACTTGATTCACCAGCTGGCGAATTAAGGGAAAGAACTCAACCCTTTATGTCTCCATCACATTAAGGAATGATATGACTTTGTATGACTGATATCACCAGTTTTTCGTTTCTGATGAATGTTTCTGATGAATCAAACAAAAACAGACTTTTTCTTGGAGGACCAGCTACTTGGACATTGGTTATGTACACTGTGCGGACCTCTAAAACATCAGAGGTTGGGATCAGATGTCACGATTTGCCTGATCCCTGCCAAAATGGAGAAATCTGTATCAACAGTTTTACATGTACCGGTACTTGTCCAATGTTTTCTTGGGTACAAAATGTGAAGATAAACCCTTTAGGAACACCAATTATCAAATATTTCAAGAAATATTTTAAAGGAATAGTCTCTAAGGTCTGAACGTTATTTTCGTAGGCAATAAATTAGCAAGTAAATGTGTGAAATACATTATTAGGACAATCCCTCATTACTGCAAGCTTAAAAGAAGTTTGCTGATTAACAGAATCAATAAATATTATCACCATTTGTGAAGTCTGTTTACTGCCCTCATTATTAATCGGCATGATTTCCGAAAATAGCCGACTCAGCAGGGATATGCTGACCATCTTATCATTTTCACTTTGAATGCTTAGTAGCAGAGAATGGACACAGAAGAGGTAAGTTTTATGTATTTAAAGCTTAGAGAACCTTAAAATTATACTTAAAAAGTTATATTTACATTTATATATTACTTAAAACACACCTCAGTTGAACAGAGTGACCTCCAACGGGTTATAATATGTGAGGGGCCTCATAAGGGTTATCTCATCAACAAACATTACAGTACAGAAAGTATAGTTGCATTGGCAGTTTTTTGTTTTTGTTTGAAAACAGACAAAAACAAATAATGTAAAACTACAAAAAATCCCCTTTTCTATCATACATTTTTAAATGAGATGAAATAAAAAGGGGGAATTTTAAACAAGGCCTGAACATATGTTGATATATGAAATAGACAGCATAAGTAATCCTTGAATTAATATTTCAAAAAGACTTCCAAATCTCAAACTTGAAACTGCATGTATGAAGTTCAGCTTTTTAAGTTTTGAATTTTTAAAAATTTTTAATATATACATATTTTTACCAGACATATGAACAATTACATACATGCATTAATTATATATCAATATAAGAAAAAAAACTAATTAAGCCTGCTCCTAATTTACTGTATGGGAGAAGGATATGGAGATAACGAACAGTATTCAATCTCAACGTCCATTAAACAATATAAAAAATAAGAGCAGAGCAAACACGGACCTCTGAAACATCAGAGGTGGGATCAGGTGCCATGGAGGAGTGAGCATCCCCTGCCGACCGGTCACACCCGCCGTGTGTTCGTTGTCATGATCAGGAAATAACGGAAAAAATCCGTCGTCAATTCAGTGTATAAATAATGGACTAACAATTGGTATGAAAAACGTCAGTCAGCATATGACTCAATGATAAATTGTACTTGCTGACAAGGTCATTGTATCGACCATAGAATTTACGAAATGATACATATACCTGTACCAATGCTAACAAAACTTAATTGAAATAATTGCAATTATGGGGTTTTTGACATATTTTTCATGTTTAAAATATTAAGTAATTGAAGATCATGTGTTTTTGATAGGTTTTTTTCGCTTAAATTGATTTCATGAACATGTATGTTATTTTTATGAATAAAAATTTTTATTATAGAATGAATACAAATGTATAATTTTTATAATAGAATATCAATTTATCAAGACACACGTCTTCATCCCCAGAATCCTCATCCTCTTCAGATTTGGGAAGGGGGAAGAGGCAGAGGGCGTGGGAGAGGAGGACGCCCGAGGGGAGTTAGGACAAGAGGTGGAAGAGGACTAGGTGCCCGCAGAAGAATCGCCCAAGAAACTGTTGTTGAAAGACTTGCAGCTGAAAGGGAGCAGCGAGATGCTCATCTTAGGGTAAAATTGTACAAGTTAATTAGTCAAAATAACCTTCATTCATGCATATACAATGTATATATACAACTCATTTATGGCCTGTTAATTCACAAATTCATGTATATATGAATTATTTATTCTAAAAGTATTATCATTCTAGGAAAAACCGTTCACGGTAGCCTAGAGGTAGAGCGTTCGCTTCGTGATCGGGAGGCCCGGGTTCGATTCTCGATCGCGGCGCCGCGTCAAACCTAAGAAGTAAAAATAGGTAGTGACTGTTCTTCGCCAAGCGCTCGGCGTCAGAAGTGAAAGCCACGGGTTTTTGGATATGACCTTATAAACGTAGGTCCAGTGTCACGGTAGGCGCTGGCACGATAAAGAAGCCTCACTGCTCAATGGCCAAGATTGCCGAGTATAGGTCGAAATTTGAAGCCCTTCACCGGCAAATGGTGACGTCTCCATATGAGTGAAAAATTCTCAAGAGGGACGTTAAACAATATACAATCAATCAATCATTCTAGGAAACCATATCTAATCTTGAGGAGGATAACTTGAGGAACCTTGTTCAAGCTATATATGTAACAGGGACCCAACATTTGTCTTTGACATTTTGAATGAGGCTTCCCAAAATGAAAGGAGACAAGGGTACCACCCACAACCGTCAGATGGCATACCAAGCTGGTGTACCTGCAACCACTGCAGAGAGATTCCATCCGAAATTGAAAAAACTCTGTTGTGGACAGACTCCATTAAACTGCTACTCAATTGTCCCAGTAAGAAATTCAATTTACTGATATACAGATAAAAAAAGTTAAAATTTTACAAATTTAAATGTATATAATAACATTCAATATTAATTATACACTGAATTGACGTTATTTCACTATCATGACAATGAGCACACGGTAGTATGACCGGTCAGCAGGGGATGCTAACTCCTCCATGGCACCTGATCCAAGCTCTGATGTTTCGGAGGTCCGTGTTTGCTCTGCTCTTGTTTTGTATTGTTTTATGGACTTTGAGATTGAATACTGTTCGTTTTCTCCATATCCTTCTTTATTTATTATTAATTATATTTTTAGGATTTCCAAAGGGTTGTCCTTGATGACCTTGTACTGGTTGTTGCCCGCATTACCGTGAAGACATTTTTGCAGCTGCCCCTGATGCAGATATTAACAGCGGGAACAGACATGCAGCCTACCGCCAATTTATCCTCTGGCATCATGGTTTGCTAGGTGCAAGAAATAGAAGGGTGATTCCAAGTTGTTGTGTATGGAGAATAAGGGACAAGTTCCCAGATGCGTTTTGCCAATATAGGGGCCTCATTGGAGGACGACTAGGATAAAGTTAATTTAACAACATTTTCCTAGCTACATGTCAACAGCTTAAAATGATTAACAAAATTTTATATTCTAAAGTGTTTTATTTTTGATTGAATCGTGATTGTTCAAGACATGTCAATTGTCTCTTTCTTGTTGCAGAAACCTTGACTTCTGCTCGACAACAAGCTGTTCAGTGGAAGGGGGTGGGATTGGAGCCAGATGAGATGACAATCTTCTTGGATCATCTACCTCCAGCACCACGGGTTGGTTCATCCCCACTTCATCTGTCACTCTTGACAATAGAATCTTCTCCTGCAAAGATGGGATATACGGAATTTTTTTTTTCTCTTTCACAGGATAAACTGCCCATCTTCCACTTTTTTGTTGTAGCTCCTGAAATCTGAAAGGAAAATATTTTGTTCATCATGTATAATTGTTCATAATATTTTGTCTCACTGTTGAAGTCAACAATAAATATTGGCCAGTGTTCATATATATTGCTTACTGTGTTGCTCCATCTTTCTTGACAAGAACGTTTCTGTTTATATGGTGGTTATGGTGCAAGGCCGCAAGTCGATTCCTGCACCTATATGAAGGTGGGTTGTAGGAGTGACGCTTGGATGCATACGCATTCACTACGTTCTGGAAATTTTCAAGTTCTGCTGTGCACTTAAGAAGCAAGAGTGTATTAATGATTTATCAGACATACTGTAGTTCTTTAGCAATGTAATAAAAGAACCTACAATTATTGATTCTGATATAAAACTGACCTGCAGTTAAGATATTAAAGCTGAACACTACTCGTAAATAGGCATAGTCCGCCATATTTCTCGTTCTTCAACGCTCCCTCTACAACTCGTATATAAGGAGCAGATCGCTAGCCAGTTCAATGTATTTTACTATAGAGATCCGACGAGTGCAGACGTACATCTTACAAAGCTTGCTACTCAATACCGATGAAATTATCAAATTTTACGTATTTTTTTCCAAAACAGGACAAAAGTATCATGGAAAATACAGGTCATTACATTATTTACAAACAGAAAATGCACATAAAAACAAGAAATTAACGCAAAAAATCTAAGACCACGATAGAAGTACTACATGTCGGCCACGAGTTTCGAGTGTGCAGTCGGGTGTAACGAAAGCGAACGGTTTATATCCCCGTCTGACAGTGCCTATTTATGAGAAGTGTTCAGCTTTAAGGCACATTGTTCTGGAGACGTTTGTCTAACACAATTTCCCGAAGAGCCACATGTGCTGGAGAATCCTTTTCTAACCACCCTTTTGTTCTCTCTTCAGTCAGTGGTCCATGGTTGCATTCATTAATGTCACTATAGGGTAAAACCCATGTGTGAACATTAACTGTGTGATGGAGGATTCCTATCCAATTCCCCTTGAAAAGTAAAATTCGTTTTAGACCAATTTATATAATCACATGCAGCGCTTTTGCAAAGTTTATATTCATTTTTTTGGTGTATGGAAACTTACAACAAACTCCTCCTTTGTGTTTGAGATGCTAGCTGTGTACCAGTAATGGTTGACAACATCTTTTATCCTTGACAGGATAGCTTTTTGGGATTTCTGCTGACCTGCCTAGAAGATATGAATAAACACACTGCACAAAAATAATGGTTGTCATATGTATAGGTGTTATGTGTCTACTTTTAGAAATTCAGATTTATTTGGTGTAGAACAGTTTGTAAAAACTGATAAGAAAACAACAGCTCCAAGCAGTTTCATGAATCCTTTAGAGTAAGTCCAATTATTTAAATCATAGGTATCATATAAAAATTAAAAGTTATAAGGTTTGATATGCATGCCATTAGAATACTTTTAAATAATATTTGTTATTACTGATTTATGTCATTGTATGTATTATATCAGAGTAATAATCATAATCCATGTTGATCTTACAGAAATTTTGTTTTGCAGTCTCTCAATCTGCTTATCAGAAAACTACACCAACGAGGACTCAGAGGATTCATCAGATGAAGATTATGAGCCTAGTTTCATAATGACCATGAGGTATGTTTTGCAAGGACACCTTGCTGCCAAGCCAGTAAATTATTTAATTTATTTTCATATTTCAATATTTTCAATCTACTGACTATATGGACTAACAGAATTATTAATAAAATTTAATCCCTGTCATAAGAGAGGACACTCAGACTGAAGCCATGGTTGAGGACTCTGAAAATGGGGGATAGCTGTAATGAGGAATCAAATGATGATCTTCGCCCCGGGATTGCCAAAATTTTAACTCCAGAAGAGATTGAGGGCTGTAAGGAAGACCGCCCTTTCCTTTGTTATCTTTCACAGCTTCACACATTATCTGAATTACGTGTCATACCAAATTGTCAGCTTAAAGGATGCCAAAAATCAGTGCATTTGGAGAAAACTGTTGTTGGATCGGCACTCTATTTCAAATGGGTACGTGAGAAAATTGCCTTGACATATACTAGTATTAAATATATCTTTCAAGAAGGGTAATATAAGGTCTAGATCCTACTCTAATTGCCAATCTTGTTAATTTACCTGTCCCCCTTGTCTAGATCTGAAGATATTTCAGATACATCTGAAAATTTGGATGGGAGAATGGTCGCTGTTGGTCCAGATGTTGATGTCACTGCACTTAATGCAGTTTTAACCTTCTTGGGGAACTTTCAAACGTCAAGGTTTCATTCCTTTATAGACGACATTTATGTTCATATTGGTTCATTTGATATAATGAATTGAATGAACTGATACACTGATTTAATAGTTAATTCTTAATTAACTTCAATATATTATCAGCACTTTTATCTAAAATACGTTATATAGCATTATATTGCACAAACAAAATTAATAAAGCAGCAGGTATTATCTTTTGTTAATCCCATTTGCTAAACAAAGAAAGCGTATCCCCTGGGGACCCAATCAGCTTTCCCAGTTTGTTTACATACTGTTTACATAAGTTAATCGGCTTAATCATCATTTTCTCTCTAAGATATTGCAGTTTTAGATAAAAATAAAAGATAAACTCATTTCTACTACTAAATACCTATACTGAAATCAAGATTTATTTAGCAGTTTTTGTGAAAATTAACATTATTTTACTTACCGATCAAGCAGGTACTCTGCTACATTGGCATGAGTTTTAAGCTGCAGCGTCTCTTTTAATTCCATCCAACGATCATATTGACCACCTATAGCTATTCTGCCTTGATTGTATTTTGACATAACTGAAGTTCTGTTTCGTTTTCTTGTTGAATCTGTTAAAGATCGTTCTCTCCCACGTGTTAATCTCTTCACCTCCGACATCTTCGGCTACTGTGACCTCGGTCAGGGATGCGTAGTTTGTTTTACGAGCAGGGTCAGCAGGGGTCTTCGTAAATGGAGCAAAGATAAAAGCCGAATTTTTGTGTGGATGATAAAAATTCATCCCGGCAGTTTGTTTATTAAATAAGTGATATGTAAGGCACTCTGTTGTGTGCAAAGCTTGACAGATCAACATTATTTTACAGGGTCTGTTATACCAAATACAGAAAAAAATACAGAAAAAAGTATATTATTTTGTTTGAATGAACCTTAGAGACCAATCTAATTAAAATTAGATGTTAGTGTAGCGAGTATGCGAGCGGATCTAACATCTAATTTTAATTAGATTGCCTTAGAGACTATCCCTTTAAAAAGGATATGGAGATAACAAAAGTATTTAGGATAAAAGTTCCACAAAACAATACAAAACAGGAGCAGAACTTCAAACCAGGTGTGATCAGGTGTCATGGAGGAGAGAGCATCCCCTGTCGACCGGTTACATACGTAATGATTTTGAATTAACAGAAAAATCCGTCGTCAAGAGACCCTAGCGACTGCAATATTACGAGTGAAGAAAATACTTTGGAAATTAATGTTCTATTCTGCATATTACGTCCCTTTGTACAACTGAAAGTTAAAAATGATGCAAGAATCGACTATTTCTCCAAAGAGTTTGTGGCATTCCCGAAAATTGTGAGGACAAATGGGATACAGGCCCTCCAAATCCAGAGATTCGTAGAGCATGAAGATACAAAAGGTGTGATCAGAAGAAGCACACAAAATCACCTTCTTGATTATTATTTGAAACCAGGTGTAACTTAAGAATAGAAAATAAAATATATGGAAAAGTATGTTAACACTTGTTGCCTTTGTTAATGAGAAGTATTTCTAAAATATTTCATTTGCCTTAAAGTCGTTGAAAAAATTAAAATTATAATTGTTTTTTATCAATAATATGAACATAATGATATATGGATTGTCTGTATCACTTGATTAAAACAAAAAAGCATTTCAAATAGCGCATTAAAAAATTTCGAAGTCCAAATTGAAAGGAGTTTAGGGGCTGAAATTTTAATTATCTATCCTACAAAAAATCTGATTAAATATTGTTTCTCGTCTTGAAAAGACAAACAAAATGATATAAAGAACCTTTATACATGTATTGGGTCAGAAATAAACATTTTGAACACCGAAACGTATTTTTATTTTTTAGGGGTTTTATCTGACCTCAATTTCTACATTGAAATAATTCCTTTCTTGGGGGCTGACATTTTTATTTATGGAGCTATCTTAATGTGCCTTATATCATTTTCATTTCTGAAAGAGACGAGGAAGAATATGTAATCACTTTTATCATTAGACAACTTTTAAGATTTTTATGCCCTTAAAACTAAGAAATTTGGACATGAATTTTTTAACGCAATCCAAAAACTCTTTATTGGGGCTATATCAGACTTTCTGGTGACCTAAAACAAAAAAGAAAATGTAAACGATGTAATAAAATTAATGAAACATAGGTAATCAGAGATTACAGAGCTCACCTCAACGAATGTTGTCTTTAAGTAAGGCAAAGTCACACAATTAACCAACAAGAAGTGTACATTCCAAAAATGAAAATATTTAAGCAATTTTAATCTGATTTTGAAATAGACCTACATAAAAAATTTAAACTAGTTCTTCTTCATGAAAATGTAATTAAAATTCAGCAACTGAAGCAAATTTGAGAGTTTTCACCTCTTGATGCAACATTTGTGCAAGTTTGGTTTATACAATATTATATAAGCCTTATAGTTTTTTGGTAATAGACCTGCACCCATAACTTTTACCTTGTCTATTATCTGAAAATGTATGTCGAATTCAGCATCCGAAGCAAGTCCATTAGTGTGCATCCTAAGATGTATCATCCATGCATGTTTGCTCATTAAAGGACTCATAGTTAATTGGAAATGAAATATGCATCAAAAACTAACATTTTCACTCATCAGCAAAAAGAAGGTCAAGATTCAGCATCCGAAGCAAGCCCGGTAGTATGCATCCTTATATGTATCATCCATGCAAGTTTGGTCATTAAAGAACTCATAGTTACTTGGAAATGAATCATGCACCAAAAACTTTAACCTATTAACTCAACTAGAAAATGTAGGTCAGATACAGCATCCGAAGCAAGCCTGGTAGCATACATCCTTATATGTATTATCCATGCTAGTTTGGTCAACATAGGGCTTATAGTTACTTGGAAATGAAACCTGCATCAAAAACTTTAACTTGTTCACTCAACCGGAAAATGTAGGTCAGATTCAGCATCCGAAGCAAGCCCGGTAGTATGCATCCTTAGATATATCATCCATGCAAGTTTGGTCAACATAGGGCTTATAGTTACTTGGAAATGAAACCTGCACTAAAAACTTTAACCTGTTCACTCAACCATAAAATGTAGGTCAGATTCAGCATCCGAAGCAAGCCCGGTAGTATGCATCCATAGATGTATCATCCATGCAAGTTTGGTCAACATAGGGCTTATAGTTACTTGGAAATGAAACCTGCACCAAAAACTTTAACCTGTTTACTCAACCGTAAAAAGTAGGTCAGATTCAGCATCCGAAGCAAGCCTGGTAGAATGCATCCTTAGACGTATCATCCATGCAAGTTTGGTCAACATAGGGCTTATAGTTGCTTGGAAATGAAACCTACACCAAAAACTGCACCAAAAATGTTAACCTGCTCCAAAAACATTAACCTGGTCATTCCTTTGCTGAAATTGCAGCATCTGAAACTTTGACTGGTACAATGAAACACACTAAAACCATCTTCCATGCATGTCTAATCAATATAGGACATAGAAGTACTTAAAAAGAAAACTGCTCCAAAAAACTTAACCTTAACCTGGGACGCCGACACCGACGCTATTACATAAGCTCCCCCAACTTCGTTGAGGTGAGCTAAAAATGCCACTATTGTCCAAAAGCTGGCTAATCAATACAATGCCTTGGCAATTATCAATTATGATAAGACTTTCAGATAATGAGGAAAAATTTCTCTTGGGGAGCTTCAATTGGATCGCGTTAATATTGAACTGTATCAGGATGTCTTAGCAGCCGGTTTACAAACAAAGTATAAAACGGCATTTCAGAAAACTATTGTTCGTCCCTTCATAAATACTCAAGGTAAAGAAAGTTACACAGAGTCATTGTGTTTACAACTTTCAGAATTCCGAGGAGGGGATTTTCGCCAGACAAGTGTAAATTTTCCCATACTTTTCAGAGCTGTGGGAGAGATTTTAGTAGAAAGGTCTGTTTCATTTCCCCTAAATCAACCACAAATGCTAAAGGAAAACAGAGGGTTTGCAGTTATCAAGGTCCGACAGAATTTAAACACTTTGCTCCTAAATCAACAAAATAATTTTGAAATTGTTACCCTCGATAGGTTACATATATATGAATTATCAAATTACCATAGAAATGATAGGATATCACTGGTCTTATGTTTTAAAGAAGGGTTTAAATACCTTTTTAAGGGTATATAACATCGTAGTCTAAGCGACAATTTTTACTCTGCAAGACAACATTTAAACATTCTTAAAAACAAGATGAGATGCTGTTCCGTTTCAAGAACATTTTAAAGTCCGCCCCTAGGCCGAGTGCCGAAAAAGAACAATTTTCGGGTTATTCATCATTTGACGTACCCAGAAGGTTAGTTAATCAATGACAGAATACCCCCAGAAACTTACAATTTCATCAAGTATCAGACAATGGACGACGCTGTTTTAAAAAAAAATATGACAAGGGGGCTTTATTTTTTAAGCGGATATTGAGAATGCATTTTGAATTATTCCCGTTCACCCTTCAGAGTACGAATCACTGGGCTTGACAAAACATCTTACACTTTAAAAGATAAATGGGTTACTTCTCTACTGCTCTTGTGATCTTGATTTTGGGGGTACTTTAGAGTTTAAAATCGGTTTTGGCATTTTCATAATGTATACGTAATAAATTATGCATTTGAATGAAATAATAATAAAAACAATTTTGAATATAAAACTACTCACTATTACATAAAGTTGTGGCTATGTTCAAGAAACGCTTCCGTTAAGACAACAGTTAAACTATGGCAAAAGTGTGAGCCGTGATCCTTATGTCCGGCGTAATAAGTACAAGTGCCCAGTACATTTATCCGAAAGAAAACACTCGCTGTGCCAGTAATGGAGAGACAAGGCTACAAATTCCAGAACTACTCATCCAACAAGGGAGGATATAAGACTCTGTAGATTCCTTAATGCGAATGGTGAAGGTAAACGAGGATGATGTAAGCAGGACTGTAGATTCCTTAAGGCGAATGGTGAGGAGACTCGAGGATGATGTAACCAGTACTTTAGATTCCTTAAGGCGAATGGTGAAAAACGCGAGGATGATGTAACCAGTACTTTTTGTTAAGATATTAACTTTTATTTTATATGTAAAATTTTAGATTTCCATTTTTTTTTCATTTTAAATAAAAAGTAACCCTTTTCATGCTATTTATACATGTAATCATGAACCCATATAATTTAATACAAATAAAGTGGTTTGCTGACATCTCTGCAAAATATCTAATTTTATTTGCTTGTATTAAACTAAAAGGATCTTGAAATGAAAAATATTTTTTTTTCTTTATCGCGTTTTTTTCCTGCTAAATACACTAGAACAATAATTTATTAAAGGAAATGACGTCATGCACCAGCTGACGAAGGGAAAGAACTCATCCCTTTACGTCTCCATCACATTGAGAAATGGTTCGACTTTTCACGAACGATTTCATCATTTCTCTGTTTCTGACGAAATCAACAAAGACAGACTTTATCTTGGAAGACCAGCTACCGGGACAAATAACAATATTGACCTATAAAATAATGTTCTGAAACCCATAAATGTTTTTATGTTACACTGTTACACACGGGTAGGTACACTGTTCAGACCGCTAAACATCATATGTGGGATCAGGTGTCATGATTTGCCTGATCCCTGCCAAATTGGAGGAATCTATGTCAATGGACAAAACAGTTTTACCGGTACTTGTCCAGAAGGTTTCTAGGGAAAAAATGTTTTAAAACTGCGAGTCATTTTTGAGAAAACAATTTTAAAAAGTACCTGGTGAAAGAGTTATTTCTACATAAGTTAATTTTTTATACTCAATCACGCTCTTTCGTTACATATTTATGTGTTAGGTTTTTCTTTGCGATAAATATAATATTCAACCACTGGACGTTTCAACTTTTTTTATCTTCATGGAGTATAGAAAAATCCCTGTATTTCAATGTTATTTTTAAGGCTGCAGCATGAAATTATTTTCATTTATTAAAAGAAATGTTTAAAAACATCATGTGACTGTCATAGGAGATTTTAATCGTACAACACTCTTGTTTATCGGCAGAACGAGAATTATTGTTATTCTTCAAATCTTTCGAGTACTGGTTTGACGTAGTTTTGGATATTCCACGTCAATTCTCCTTTTTAAAATTCCTCAGGTATCGTAGTGTAATTTACTTGTGTGCCAAGTTATATTGAAATCAGACTAAAATTGTAGGAGGAGTAGCATTTTAAAAAATTATTTACAAACAGACGGACAGTCAGACAGACAGATGGACGGACGCCGGACGCATTACTATCGCATAAGCTCTTTTAGTCTCTGACCAGTAGAGCTAAAAATTGTGAAAGTATGAGAAAATGGTTGTTTTTGTTCTTTTTAGAGTGTGTATGCTCTTTAATAGGCAAAAATTTTCAGTTGTTGTAGGACTTATGTAAATCATAGAGATTTTAAATTTAGTTTACCTTAAATAGTATTAGATGAAATATGAATTAAAATTCAGAAAACCCCCCATCTTTTTCAATATAAACAATTTGAGGTTTATAATGATTAATAATTGCTTGCCACACCTTTTCCAATACTCTTCTCTTTTTTTTTTTAGAAATCCAAGTTTGAGTTCTTTTTAGTCTTGGAGGAAGGGGAGGAGAGAAAATTTACAACACATACTGGGACATCATTTGCACGAACCTTAACCCCATTGATGAACATGAGAACAGTACGCATAATAGTGGTATCCTCTGATGTTACCTTCTCCAGGAAAAGGGGTGATATCTTTAAGGTGCCATCAGAGGCAGTCATTACGACAAACTTTAATCACCAAATTAAGAGAGGGACCATAGTGAGTACCTGTCCACAATTTGTAAATCCTTTTTATTAATGTTGTAACTGGAAACCCTACAAAACACATAACCAATTACAAAAACATTTTAAAAAGCAAAAACGCTTATAACGTCGGATACCGTACTTGCGCATTATGACCCGAAATGGAGCTATGTCTCGCTTGTGATGCCTCACCTTATGGTATAGGAGCTGTATTGTCACACAAGTATGACAACGGAAGCGAACGGCCGATAGCTTATATCTCGAAAACGCTGACAAAATCAGAGCGAAATTACGCACAAATCGACAAAGAAACACTTGCGATTTACTGGGCAGTAAAGAAATTCTATCCTTATCTCTTTGGACGAAAGTTTACTTTGATTACGAATCACCAACCACTTACATCGATCTTTAATCCTTCAAAGAGCATCCCAGTAACGTCTGATTCAAGATTGCAAAGATATGCTGTATTTTTGTCAGGATTTACATATGATATTGTGTACAAAAGTACCAAGAAACACACAAATGCTGATGCGTTATCGAGACTCCCTATGAAGTCAAACGACAACGATGGACCAGATGCATCGGAAATATTTAACATAGAGCAAATAGAGAATTTGCCAGTGACCGCAAAAAAAATTGCAAAAGAAACAAATAGAAACCCAATGCTGAGTCGTGTATACCAACATGTGACATCAGGATGGATAAAACCAGACGACAAATCCTTGATGCCGTTCTACAATCGTAGAGATGAAATTACCACACAACATGGATGTTTGATGTGGGGAATTTGGGTGATCATTCCAACAAAATTCAGTAATATAATATTGGAAACTCTTCATGCGTCGCACCTAGGAGTCGTGAAAATGAAGGGCATTGCGAGAAGTTACGTATGGTGGCCTGGGATTGATAAAGATATCGAAAACATCACAAAATCTTGCACTGGATGCGCAAAAATTCAAAACAATCCAAGCAAAGCACCCGTATATCCCTGGCCTTCAGCACCCTGGCAGAGGATACATATCGACTTCGCAGGACCATTCTTAGACAAAAATTTTCTCATCATGGTTGACGCACACTCTAAATGGCCTGTAGTTTTCCCGATGAATAAGATCACATCGTTTAAAACCATCGAAATCCTTCGCACGGTTTTCGCAAGAAATGGAATTCCAGAGCAAATCGTTTCAGACAACGGACCACTGTTTACGTCACGTGAATTTGATGATTTTACAAAGAAAACGGAAATAAAACATTTCAAATCTGCTCCATATAATCCAGCAACTAATGGATTAGCCGAAAGATTCGTACAAACTTTCAAACGAAGCATGAAATCTATGAAAAACAACGAAAGGTCGATCAATAAAAAGATTGCGAATTTCTTATTGCTGTATAGGAAAGCGCCTCACAGTATCACCAATGAGACACCAGCAAAATTATTTCATGGAAGAAATCTGCGGACATGCCTAGATTTAATACGACCCGATACCAGGAAAATCGTGGAAGACAAAACCATGAAAAGCGCCGTGGAGGAGAAAGGAACAGTCCGAGAATTTAAAGAAAACGATCATGTAATTGTGCGAGATTACAGAAGTAACAACAAATGGATTGACGGACAGATAAGATCTAAACTAGGACCGTTATCTTACGAGGTTACAACAAAACAAAGAAGCGTATGGAAAAGACAAGTAGATCAAATGCGCGATTCAAAACCAAAACCTGATGAACAATGTACTGTAAATTACCCAGTGTCAGAACAAGAGCCGGTAACTGATGAGACAAACGCGCCAGGTATCAACGAGTCTCCAGTCAGTCCACAGACAGATAACGCGACATCCGAACCGCTAAATAAACGTTATCCGACGCGTGTGCGAAAACAAACCAAAAGACTCATTGAAGAGTGTTCACTTTGTACATAAACATTATAACAATATCATAATCTTAAGAACTTTAATCAAGTAGAATAGTTTGTGTTTTGTTTTGTGTTAAATATACTTAATGATTTATGTTCATAAATTCGCTGGGAGGAAATGTTATATCTTCATTGATCTTAACTTCTATATTCTAAAGTTACATATGCATCTTTAACATAAATATAATAATGTTTAGAACAGTTATTGATTCTGACAGTTTCTAATGGGTTAACCTTAAATTGTTTATATTGAACGCGCTGGCTCTGCAGAACTTGATATTTGATAGTCTGAGAATTTCTAGAGTTGTAGCTAATGCATGTTAATGTTTATATCACTTAATAAAATGTAGTCAATGTGAACAGACGTGTTTGTTTTAATTCATACACAACAACAACATGTATCTAAATAGCCCAATTTTCAAAACTGACAAAACTAAAGGCCGCTAATCGGAAATTAAATTTAACAATTTTGCTTTGAGACTACAATCAGTCATTGGTATACGGATCATAGTGGAAAATGTGAACAAACCTACAAGTATATTCACTACGCCTAGAAAATTTCTTAATTGAGTTTCGGTTAGGAAAACATGCATATGGTCCACGTATTCAGGGACCTATGTACTAGGTCCCTGACGTATTGCAGTCCTTTTTAAAGGACAGCAACTTATTCATTGTCATTCTCCGAGGGTCATGTCTCCTCCCATGACGATAGTGGGGAAGTGAAGACCTCTCTAAAAATAGCAATTTACATAACTGAATGCAGAACGAATTAATTTTCGCTCGTGAACAAGCAATGTAGTAAGTCGTACAATATTATGTTCTCGTCAACTAGTGCGACCTACATTGTGAGAAGCGGAACTTAGAAGTTTAACTTTTTAGGTCACCTGAGTAACTCAGGTGACCTATTGCTATCCGTTTTCGTCCGTCGTCGTGCGTCGTGTGTTAACATTTGAACATTTTCAGCTTCTCTGAAACCACTGAACCAATTTCAACCAAATTTGGTATACAGCATCTATGGATGGAGGGGAACAAAAATTGTGAATTTCATGGTCCCCACCCCCCTGGGGCCTGAGGGGTGGGGCCAAAACCACTAAATTTATTGCAATCTTTAAAAATCTTCTTTACTCCTGAACATCAAGCAGGCAAACTGTTGGCATGAATGTAATGAGCATTGAGTCCTCTACCAAAATTGTGAAATTCATGGCCCCAGGGTCAGGGGTTCTAGTGCTAGGGGGCTCTATAGATTATATAGTGAAAATGCATTATTTCTTTGAAAATCTTCTTCTCTGCTCCTGGGTATTAAATAAACTAACTTAGAACATAGTTATGATGAGCAAGAGTACCTCTTCCAGATTGGTGAATTTTATGGCCCCAGGGTCAGGGGTTCTGGTGTTGGGGGGGGGGGGGGGCTCTATAGATTATATAGTGAAAATGCATTATTTCTTTGAAAATCTTCTGCTCTGCTTCTGGGTATTAAATAAACTAACTAAGCACAAAGTTATGATGAACAAGAGTACCTCTTCCTGATTTGTGAATTTTATGGCGCCAGGGTCAGGGGTTCTGGTGTTAGGGCGGGGCTCTATAGATTATATAGCGAAAATGCAATTATTCTTTGAAAATCTTCTTCTCTGCTCCTGGGTATTAAATAAACTAACTAAGCACATAGTTATGATGAGCAAGAGTACCTCTTCAAGATTTTTGAATTTTATGGCGCCAGGGTCAGGGGTTCTGGTGTTAGGGCGGGGCTCTATAGATTATATAATGAAAATGCATTGTTTCTTTCAAAATCTTCTTCTCTGCTCCTGGGTATTAAATAAACTAATTAAGCACATAGTTATAATGAGCAAGAGTTCCTCTTCAAGATTTGTGAATTTTATGGCCCCAGGGTCAGGGGTTCTGGTGTTAGGGCGTGACTCTATAGATTATATAGTGAAAATGCATTTATTCTTTGAAAATCTTCAATGCTTCTGGGTATTAAATAAACTAACTAAGCACATAGTTATGATGAGCAAGAGTGCCACTTCCAAAATTTAGAATTTTAAGGCCTCAGGTTTAAGGGTTATGGTGCTAGGGCGGGGCTCTATTGATTATATAGTAAAAATAAATTCTTTGAAAATCTTTTCCTTTGCTCCTGGGTTTTATGCCAATTATCCAAGTATATATATATTTATGATGAAGAAAGGTGCATCTATCAAAGTGGTTTTTTATGCCCGCAGGGTCAGAGGGGGGGGTGGGGGGGTGGGGTTACATAGTCTGAAAATAAATTAATGCTTTGAAATCTGCTCTTTTGTATTAATCAACCATTTTATGCATCTTCGCTAGCCAAGGGTGACGATCCACGGTGTTTCTCTATTCATGTGAATAGAGAAACACCGTCGATCGTCACCCTTGGCTAGCGAAGATGCCATTTTATGATAACATTTGCAGAATTTTGAAATATGTGGCCCATGGGTCACTGGTTCCTTTAGGGTGAGGTGCACAACTGGGTATAAAGTAATAGTGCATTTTCTCTTTGTTACTCTGATCTACCTCAGGGTATTAAGTAAATAGAGTAAGCATGCTAAGTTGATAATTATGATAAGCAAGGGTGCCTCTTTCAAAATTGTAAATTGTGAATTTCGTGGCCTCTGGTTTAAAACATGAACTAAATTTAATTGTTTGAAAGTTGTTACACAATACTCAGGTGACCTATAAGGCCCGTGGGCCTCTTGTTTTCTCTGATTTTCAATCTTGATTTGAGCGTTCGTCATACCTGAGGCGTAAACATTACAAAGGTAGTGACTGTTCCTTCGCCAAGCGCTCGGCTCTAGAAGCAAAAGTCACGGGTCTTTCGGACCTTAAAAACGTAGGTCCCGTGTCACGGTAGGCGCTGGCATAATAAAGAACCCTCACTGCTCAATGACCCTGAGTGCCGAGTATAGGTCAAAATTTGAAGCCCATCAACGGCATACGTTGACGTCTCCATTTGAGTGAAATATTCCTAAGAGAGACGTTAAACAACATACAATCAATCAATCTTGATTTCAATGTATATATTTGTGGTAGTTGTATTTTTTATATTTTTAGGATATGTATTTTAAATTGCACACATTCTTCTCATTCTTTATTTCATTCATTCAGTCATTCACTTATTCATTCAGCGCCGCACAATGCGATTTTCTAACACTCTATGTTGTCTTGTTCAGTGTCTGTTATAAACTTAAACACCCCTATTTAGTTAATGTTGTGTTCCAGGTATACTACCAGGTATTGTTGTGAATGCAGTGGCGTAGCATCGTTTTTGAAAGTGAAGGGGCCAGGCAGAGAGAATTTTTTTTTACTTACCTGAAAAAGTTGACAAGACAAAAAAAAAAAGGTAAAAGTTGCCTGAAGTCGAAAATCCTATTTCGTGGGGGGGGGGGGGGGGGGGGGGGGTTGTAGGTAAACTTTTTCTCAGTGTCAACTACTTTCAGTACCCATTCTTATCCTCCCATTTCGCTAACTTTCGAAAGTGGGGGGGCCAACCAGGCTTTCAATTAACATTTCCTACAGTATAAGTAAGGTTGGGGAAAAAAGTGGGGGGGGGGGGGGGCCAGGCCCCCCCTGATACTACGCCCGTGGAATGGGTTATTCCATTATTGAGTGTTACATTGATTTCTGTTGGTCAGTGTGGTTCATTGGTTCTAATTTATTATAAGGTCGAATAGGCGGGAATTAATATCATGATTTCTTTTATCCTGAGAACTGGTTTTGAAGGGTGTATACCTGTATATTGTAATAATATGTACTTTTAATCCGTTTTGATCCAATCCATTTTTATCAGGTTGTTAATGTTTCGATTAAAATGTAAACTCTGGGACAGAAGAAAAAAGCATGCGGCTCGACTTGGATGTTGTGGATTTTATTGGTTTCAGTTTGACTAGATAGAAACATTACATATATAGTGAAAATACCTATTTCATAGTGTTGGAGACTGTGACCATCCTGTGCTGCCTTCCATGTAACTTTTATTCAATGAAATTATAAAGACACGGATTATAGCAAGTTAACCACTTTATTGTCCCAATAACAGTACACGTAGGGGCGCGGATCCTATAATAGGCGCAAGTGTGTCCCTGTTTACAATAGGTGAGGAGATCTAAGAGTGATCGTTTGATTTTTGATGTTTGATGGTAAAAAGCTAAAACAAATAAATACAAATATACCAAAACATGATATAAACAAACTTAACTACAAACTTACTACGAAAACAAAATGTTTGAATGAACTCTAGATCAAATTACAATGCTCACAAATTACATTACAGAGTTTAACTCGCTAAAAGCACACATAAACTTTTACCAAGAAATTCAATGTCGCTTTACATTAGCCTTAAAAAACTGCAGCTAAACCTTTAATACAATAAACACATAACTTGTAAAACTTGCAACGTGATTGGCCACAGTTTCTCTGAGTTTACAAACGTCTGGATAGTACTACTAGCTGAGTCTTTTACAAGGATGAAATTTGTGCTTGAAAATACAGATATAATAAAACCTACACAGGAAACAGCATATTTTCATAATTAAAATAAATATCAAACTGCGCGCTCTCAAAGTTAAATAAACAAAATGCAGCTGATTTTAGCTCCAACATAAACAGCAGACGGGACTTTATGGTCATTCAGCGAAATTCAAGCCTGAGAATATGGTTATAAAAATATTGGAACAATGAACAATGCATTTAGTCATCCGAGATTTGACATATTTGCTAATGCACCTAAAATGCACAACCTGCAATTCTAAATAATACATTACAAAATGTAGGACATTACACTCTCCGTCTGATATCTAACTCAAAAAAGATATCCCTTTTCATTACTAGCAATAAAGACTACCACTTCAGTTACAAGACGAATGTACGTCACCGGTTTTTCAAGACTCAAATGTTTTCCTGAAACGCGCACTTCGACCTTGCGCACCTTTTCGTCCAAACTTTGGAAAACGTTCGTGATACGTCCGATTGGCCACTCTGTGCGTTTTATTTGGAAGTCTTTTAGAAGACAATATCGCCAATTTTTATGTTTCTTTTGTCGTCGGGCCATTTTTGACGCGACTGTAAACTCTGTAGGTAGCTGTCGCGCCACTTCTTTCAGAGTCCTCTTCATTAGATCTTTAACCATGTCAGATGTTGGTAATGAGGTCAGTCCATCATCTACGTAAAAATCCCTGCAAACGAAATTTTTGACATCTTCACAACAATTTTCTTTGCTAATGTCGACAGTCTTATGGAGTCGATAAGTAGCGATAGCTAGTGAAGGGCTATTTCCAAACATATGTACACACATGCGATATTCTGTCAGCGGTTCGCTTAAGTCATTTTCTTCATACCACAGGAAACGAAAAAGTCTCTATGCTTTCAGAAACTTTGAAACAATAAAACATCTGTTGAATGTCTCCCATCATTGCTACTGCTTCACGAAGGAACCAAAGTAGCATTTGTAATACTGTATAGGGGATTAATTTCACGGGTTGTAATTTTCAAGTTTTTCTCTTCTTTGACACAATCACGGTAGTAGTATAAGGGGTCCCGCTAGGGGGTTCACGGGTCTAACCGGGGGGTTCAACTGAGTGCACTTTTTATGTAAATGAGGTTCAAAAATGGGTCAACTGAGTGGAGTGCTAACCCTAACCCCTAGCCCCCTAACCCTAACCCTAACCTAACCCTAACCCTAACTACCCCTAACCCTAACCCTAACTAACCCTAGTCCCCTAACCCTAACTAACCCTAACCCTAACTAACCCTAACCCCCTTAGCCCTAACCCCCTAGCCCTAACTAACCCTAACCCCAACCCTAACCCCCTTAGCCCTAACCCCCTACCTATTCCCTTAAATACGGGGCGCTTACATTGTGTTTTTTTTTTTTACATGGGTACGTAGGTACTACGTTTTTTTTGTTTATGCTGACTATACAGGTAAAATACTTGGCAGCGAGCCAAGTTTGTTTAGAGCCTTGTGCAAAAAATATGCTGACTATACAGGTAAAATACTTGGCAGCGAGCCAAGTTTGTTTAGAGCCTTGTGCAAAAAATATGCTGACTACACAGGTAAATACTTGGCAGCGAGCCAAGTTTTTGTTTAGAGCCGTGTGCAAAAAATATGCTGGCTACACAGGTAAATACTTGGCAGCGATTCAAGTCAGGGGACCGTGTGCAAAAAATATGCTGACTACACAGGTAAATACTTGGCAGCGAGCCAAGTTTGTTTAGAGCCGTGTGCAAAAAAAAAAAAACTTACCTATGCATTGTGACGTCATCCATGTCAGCGAGCTACCCTATGCATTATGACGTCATACACTTGTAAAATTAAAGTTTCATTTTCACTTTTGTTTCTAAGAAGTCAACTTAGATTTTCAAAAAATGTAAGACTATCTTTTGTTTACTTTGATGATTTTCCTACTGTGAAGCTTTCCTTGTATAAAGCTCAATTTTTCCATGACCACGGAAGTAAACATCCTGATGCATTCTTGTCATGTGAATGTTGAGAGCGTGTTCATTTTTGAAATCTCCTTTCTGACAGACATATTCTACAGGTAAGTTTGTCTTATTTTTGTTTACATTTCCTATATGAAGGTCATCTTTGTATTTAACCATGATTATGTAAAGTTCTGTTTTGAATGTAAATACTATATTTATCCTCATTTCATGTGATTTACAGTTGTTTAGCCTGCATGTAACTCAGAGTGCATTTAATAATTCTATGATGGGTCATTCTATGATTGAATTTCAATCAGAAAAATGTTCACTAAATTTTGGTAAAATACATGGTATCTTTTACATTTCTATCCCTTTTGTCTGTAAATTACTTTGCTTTACTTACATTGTTAAATGAGGTTAATTGTGTATCACTGAATTGTATGATTTTTTTCAGGATCAGCTGAGATGTAATCAATCACTGGATTATTTAATGGATAGGCTTATTGGGCATATATTTGGATATCTCTGGTAAGTTTGTCTTGTTTTTTTTTTAATTGTTTACATTCCCTATGAAGGTCATCTTTGCATTTAAGCATGATTATATGGTTAATTTAATGACTGTGTAATACTTACATGTATGTGATATGTTGTCTCTAACTTACATTCATATAAATCATGATATAATTTCATAATTCATTATGTATGTTACCCATGGAATTCAGACTTACTAAATGGTGATCAAAGAGATATTAATTAGGAATCTAATAAGAGAAAAGGAGGAATTTACAAAAGATTAATTCTAAGTCATTTACTTTTTGTTTTGATTCTAAATATGTGTGATATATGCTATACATATATTTTCATTTTCACTTTTGTTTCTTAAGCTTTTAAAAAAAAAAAAAAAAAAAAATGAAGGACTACATGTTGTACTGTGATGATGTAAAAAAATAAAAATGTATTTTTCTGTATGCATTACTGATAGCTATTAAACCAAAATTGAATCTGCTGTTAATAAAAGGTCTTTTAGTGTCTAAATAATTAATTTGATAATCATTTTATTTTGTGATATTAATACATTAGTTGTGCTTGTTTATTATCTATAAATAACATGATGAACTTTTCTTATCTCGAGTTAATGTTAAAAACAATTTGTTTTGAGTCTAAACACAAATATTTTCATGATTTTTTTTGACATTGTACATGTTGTATTTAAACATGCATTGTTTCATGCAGTACTCTGTCATATTAAAAAAATGCTTTTATTCTACAGTCATCAACATGGAATGTATGACTTCATCTTTTATACAGTCGGGTTCGGGGTTTCGGGCGGCCATGACGAATTTCGGCAAGATTTTACCCCAGTGAAAAAGGCTTGTAATCCACAGTGTAGGTCTTTTAAAGTTGTTTCACATTGTTTATGATTGTGATTATGTTATCACTCACCTATATGTTTAATGTTAGCTATGCTAAATAACCCATTTCTGTGTAATTTGAGAGAATGTTTTTTGTCATGTGCTTAAAGTATGGCCCGCTATTCATGTCATCATTTAAAGTCGCTCCTCAAATAAATCTGTCTTAAAAAATACATTTTACAAATGACATTTAATATTATTAGAGTATAGGTATCCAAATATATAAGAGATATTATTTTGCATTACATTTATAAGAGGCATTGTCTCATGTAATTTAAATCATAATAACAAAAATGGAATTTATTTTTCTATACAGTCCTCAACCTGGAAGATATGTTTTGTTCCTAACCATCTATAATCCATTCTCTATGAAGTGAAGCCTGGCTGCTCTTCCTTTGGAAATACACAGTTAGTCAATCAACATAGAAACACACAAACTTGAAGGTAAAGTTTCAATGAGATACAATTGTAACTTTTATCAATTATTTTTTTTGTTACATATGCATGTTTATATTTTTGAATTGATAAATAAATGATATATTTAAATAAAGAGGGCTTGGTGGTCATGGTCATGTTTAAACCATATTGATATTCTTCACAAGAAAAGGCATAAAAATTCATGATCAAATTTTAAAACTAAAATGTATGAAGTTTTTCTGTGCCAAATGATAGTTAACAGCTAAAGATAGCTTACCTATAGAATAAGTTAAATATGGCTAATTTGTTAACCCCTAGTTTCCTTAATAGCATAGTTGGTAAAGATAGCAAGTTTTCACTTCAATTGCTGGTGAATTCTGAATTTTCCATTTAATATTAATATTATATCACAGGGAAAGAATACTATAATGTGGTTCATTAGGATGACCAGAAAAGAAATCTTAATGACCCTTATGACTATGTATAAAGTCTGTAACCTTATAACTGATGTAAGATGACCTGATTGTTTGGAATTAAAATTTCCTGGTGTTTCTATTACCCAAAATCTTCTTATGAGTGCATGGGACTGTTGTAACCCTTCTCCTGTGTATAAAAATAATACCTTGGAGCATGACACTTTATTCATTTAAGGTACTTTCAATATCATTTCTATGAGTTTGTGTTCTTTTTCTTTTTAATAATCTAGTGTTATATCTCCTTTACCCTAATTAATATGCATGCTTCCAAAATCATTATAGATCTGTCTGTATAGTTTCTTCAGCTCTTTGAACACAAATACCCTGATTCAAACTTTTGAGGTAAACATCATGGAGACATCATAAATGATTATCAGAGTGTATATATCACAATCTTGACCATAAGGTCAATTAAAATGGTCAAAAGCACAACAAATGAAAGTGAAAACTTTCTTATCAGAATACATAATTTTGTAATAGTAATTCTTACCTTCTTTTGATAATAAATGGTTATATTCTTCATTAGCTTCTTCTGCAATCAAGGATCTTTCTATGTAATCTCTGACAACATTAGGATCACCCTTTTCTGGACATAATTGGTTATATTCTTCTTGAGAAATGATCTCAATAATGCTATCTTTTTTTTTTTATTTTAACTGGTATACCTCTGTCTACATCTTTCTCTGAAAGAACTCTCTTTTCAAACTGAATTTTACTCATTCCTTTACTCTTTTCTTTACTGGAGGTGTTACCCATGGTTAATATGAAAAGTCAAAATCTGATGTTACACCTTGTATTTATACCCTTTTTTTGTCTATCTTTAGAATTCCATCAAGCTTATATTACATAACAATTTTTTTTTTCAACTAAGACATTATTTTTATTTTCCAGGATATTCTAGTGAGGGCTTATGGAAATGATCTATGTCTACTCTCAGAATGGTGAAAGACTATCAGATTATGCAAAGACTAACAGGATATCCTCTCTTGGAACACTGAAACAAGAAAATCAAACAGGAGGTGGATGGAGGATTTAAGAAGCATGGTGAAAGACTATCAGATTATGCAAAGACTAACAGAATATCCTCTCTTAAAACACTGAAACAAGAAAATCAAACAGGATGGAGAATTTAAGAAGCACATAGATAAATATGATTTCCAACCAATTTAAGTACGATCATAGACTGTGCTTTACAGGATGACAAAGAAAGGACCCAGGATAGTATCTTTTACTGTCAGACACTGACTATGGATAAGATGTAGCCATTTATCAAACTGAGATCTAGTCAAATCAAGTATTGAAAATATGATTTTCTGATAGCATGAATTTATTCTCACCAACTTCAAAGTATCTATATTTATTTTTTTTATTATATATATATATATATATATTATATATATATTATTATATATATTATTTATTATATATGTATTTATTTTTACTAACTCATATTGAAGACAGTTGTTATGTAAGAGAAGTATACATTTAAACCTTTTATTTTTCATCTTATTTCTATAACCCCTAACAAATCAGACAGATGTTTTAGAAGCTAGCTTTGCTGTAATTATTACTTTCATGGAATTGTAAATACATTTTGTTTGTGTATGTGTATCCTATTTTGAATTTAATAGGTCTCAATAGGACCCCCTAAAGATGCAAGTATCCCCTAATCTGTGATGTAATAATATCTTGAATATTTTTTATCATCCCATAGACTTCATGCTTACTTCACAGAACAGGTTAGAGTAATGCACTTAGTTTTCTAGGACACTTCATCAGGGTCAAAGCATGAGATTATTGATTCAGAGATAACTACCTTAGTAATAATAATAATAATTTGTAACATACAAACTTCACATCATAAGTAAAGAAAGATTCAGAGATTTTCTATAGATTTTTGGATCATTTTTTTTTCATGGGTTTTATTTTCAGTTGTTGTAACTTTAACAATTTGTGATAACCTAGAGACTTTACAGGCATATTCTTTGGTAAATCATATGCACTATGTTCAAGGATGTTTAAAGACTATTACTATGTAATACCTTTGAATTCTGTAAAAATCTTTTCACTGCATAGATAAAAACTGGTTGGAATAATACATGTTGACAATAATTTGCAACCTACAAACTTCACATCATAAGTAAAGAAAGATTCAGAGATTTTCTATAGATTTTTGGATCATTTTTTTCATGGGTTATATTTTCAGTTGTTGTAACTTTAACAATTTGTGATAACCTAGAGACTTTTTATCAGCTTTATTGGGTGGCATGGCATATTCTTTGGTAAATCATATGCACTATGTTCAAGGATGTTTAAAGACTATTACTATGTAATACCTTAGAATTCTATTAAAATCTTAATATCACTGCATAGATAAAAACTGGTTGGAATAATACATGTTGACAATAATTTGCAACCTACAAACTTCACATCATAAGTAAAGAAAGATTCAGAGATTTTCTATAGATTTTTGGATCATTTTTCTCCTGGATTATATTTTCAGTTGTTGTAACTTTAACAATTTGTGATAACTTATAGACTTTATAAAAATTAGGTGCAAATTCTTAGGAAAAGATTGAAATGTTAATCAAATGTACATGTTCAAGGGTGTATAAATGATTATTACTATGTAATACCTTAGAAGTCTGTTAAAATTTTATTATCACTGCATAGATAAAGACTGGTTGGAATAATTTATGTTTTGAAATAAGGTTTAGGGAAAAAAGTCAAGACTGTGGATATGACTTTTATTCAAATGGTGCAGTACAGCAACTCTGGTGATTTACATACCTTCAGTCATAAATAGATAGGTATTGGGAAGACTCCTCTAGATTTTGAAATTTTTAATTCAAAAGTATAGAACTTTTTTTAAGTTTGAAAGATTAAATGGCAGCATATCATTTGCTTGTGAATTTAAAAAATAAATCCAAACACATACATCTTTGGATGATAATTATATAATTTTATCAATTCCTGGACTTCGGTCTTGGTATCATCCTTTAATGTCCTTAAAATTTTAATGACTGTCTTTTAGTTTTAGTTGAATTTGGTTTCTTTTCTACATGTGAAAATGACATCATCCAAAGAAGTTCTTTGTCTGCATGTTATATGAAGAAGACAATTTTCATCACAGTGAAAGAGATTGAATTGTTAAAGATAATGCATTGATGCACAAATATATTTTAAAAATTTTTAATAGCTAGGGTTTATATTTCTTTATATGGAATGCTAAGTACTGTTGATTTCATTTTTTTTTTTTTTTTGTGAACAAAGATATACTAGTAGAAAAAATGTTCATGATGTGTCAGAAAAGCATGTGTAAACCTGATGACTTTATCATTGCTGATTAAATCAAATTGTGAGTTTCATCTTTGTTACATTGTAAACATTTCTAAGTAGGGCACACACCAGAAACTCTTAAAATTATTATATCAGGGTTTAACACAACAATTTCAAATGATTTTTGGACGCTTTTCATGTATCAGAAAGACAAAACAGAATGTTTGTTCACAGATGTTCCAAAGGAAAACAAACACAAAGAAATGATTTGTAATGTTCTTTATGTGATTCATGTAAAATGTATTTTAAAAGTGTACCCTAACATTTATCTTTTGCATTTATATTTTTGTAAAGAATTTCTCATAACTTTGAAAAAGTAGTCTAATTGTATAATATGGGTAGCTTAAAATCTTGTAAACTTAAAAGTTGTACATGATGTGTTACACATCTTACATATGTAACCATTTCATTTCAGGGTTTTCAGCATATATTGTAGTTTTGTCTTAAATTTGTTTGCTTATGAAATCAATAATTTGCTAATACTCAAATTAGGAAATATATGAGAGAATAAACAAGAAAATCAGGTTTAAAAAATGTTTTTACTACAAAGGGGTTAATCCATAAGTAATTTCAGTCTATACATTTAAGGTATTGGTTTATGAAATAAACTTACATATGAACATTGTAAGACGATTGTAATCATTAGTTTAACCAGTTTTAAAAAAAAATAAATAAATAAATAGATTCACTGTCAGCATGTTATTTCTTGTAAAATAAATGAGAAAACAATTTTATTTGAGTCAGTTTTTTTTTAATGTAAATTAAAAAGCATTGGAAGTTGGGAATATTTCACAAAGTTAATTAATTTATACAAAATTTTTTTATACATATGTGAATAGAATTGGGCAGCAGGCAAAGCCTATTTGAGCCCTCTTCCTAAAGAGGGTAATTGAGCATAATTCTCACTAGGATAGTTGAAATATTTTGATTTAAGCATTAAAGAAACTATTTCATATTGAAATATACAAACCATGTTTAGTCATGCAGTATATAGTTTACACTTGACAAAATGTAAACCTTATCTCTATTCAGGGTCAATCCAAAGGTCAAAAAGTAATGAAAAAAATATTTCTCTTTATGTATCAAACATGCAGGTATTATTGCAATAAATTCACTGTATTCATTTTTTTGTTCTCTTTCTATGTATGAATAGCTCTAATTTAGGCAATCAAAGCAAATGAGTTATGTCAAATGATAAAGGTATACACAAGAAATTAACATGGACAGAGAATTTTGAGTTTCCCTCAAATATGGCTGCCAAGTGATGTGAAATAAAAACAAAATGTGGATTCATCTATTAGGATTGAAACTTGTACATAATATGAATGATGGACACTATGACATTAAGAATGACCTGAAAGAAATAAGTTTGATTCAATTATATGAACAGCTCTTAATCCATACAGTCAAAATGGAGGAAAAAATTTTCTTTATTAGGCATAAAGTAACAATCACTCACCCAATACATCAGAATTTTACTTTTTTTGAAGAAAAGGAACCTTACTTACTTTGTTGAGTTGACATTCATATTTTTTTTTGTGTTTGACAGGTAGAGCAATGGTTTCTAACTATTATAGTGAGAACTTTTTATTTAAGAGTCATCAGATTGTTCTGATATTTTGGTTAAAATAACTGCATGACATCAAATAATTTGTTCATACAAAGGAATAAAAGATTTTCCAGGTTTCTTCTTTAGTCAGATTAAATGGTTTTCAACTAATATATCCAAAATATATAATACAAGATAATCATCCAAGTTACACAAAGGTAAACAAATGACCTTATTATGTTTTAAGTCAAAAGGTCAAAGTGAGGATGATATCTGCTATATTTAATAGTTTGGTTAATATTCATCAAACTTCATGAATAGGTTAATTAAACAAGCTTCATATATTTTGATTATCAGATCAAAGATCAGCACACTTTTTGCTTTACCATTGTTTTCCATGAATATCTTAGCATCTCTTTTGACTTTTCAGGTTAAAGGTCAATGTATTACTGCTACAGTAAAACTTCATTATAAGGATCTCATAGTGATTTGTTTAGTTGTAAGAAATTAGTTATAAAATCTCCCACTCTTTCTATAATATGTCACTGAATGGGCTCCTTCATTTTAAAGAATTTTACAAGCAAATCATATACTGACTTTTAATCCTTCAAAACACAATATGTATATTAAATCTTGAGATTGAGATTTCAGCCTTTTAGGCTTTTAGCCTTTTAGGATTTCAATCTTAAAATGAGGCTTGGTTAACTGAGGAACAGAAACAACACAGCTTTGTGGTATGGATTATTTATGAAGAGTTATCACAGGTAGCATTTAATTTTTTGGAGAGAAAAAAAAAACTGTCATGTACTGATTGATCCTTTGAGATTAATGTTCAAACTTTTAAATGAACATGTATTAACTTGTTTTGCAAAATCAGAGTGTGAAATATAGTGTATATGTGTAATCAAAAAAAAAAAAAAAAAAAAAAAATTCTAAATTTTATCACATAAATTTGCTTTCTTTAATACATAGATTTTTCCAATATATATGTATAGATAATCTTTATAAAAAATGTTTTCATGTGTAAAGTTATGTGTAAATGTATGTGTAAATTTAAGACAAAATCACAATAGATAGCTGAATACCCTAAAATGGAGATATGTAAGAGGTGTAACACATCTTACAGCTTTTTGTCTACAAAATTTAAAGTTAATTTAAAAGTTTAAAAAAAATTCTAAAATTAATTAAATTTGTTTTTTTTAAAAACATTATAAAATTGAATTAAATTCATTTCTTTGTGTTTGTTTTCCTTTGGAACATCTGTATTCTGTTTTTTATGATAATTGAAAAGCGTAAAAATCATTTGAAATTGTTGTTTAAACCTTATAATAATTTTACCTTTCTGGTGTGTGCATAAGAAATGTTTACAATGTAACAAAGATGAAACTCATAATTTGATTTAATCAGCAATGATAAAGTCATCAGGTTTACACATGCTTTTCTGACACATCATGAACATTTTTTCTACAATTATATCTTTGGAAATCAACAGTACTTAGCATTCCATATAAAGAAATATAAACCCTAGCTATTAAAAAATTTTAAAATATATTTGTGCATCATACATTTACACATAACTTTACACTGTGAAAAATTTTTCTTCATATAAGATTATCACAAATTATATTTGACTGTATTAAAAGCAGTATTTAAATTTTAAGGATAAACATTTCAAGAAGATTACACAAACACTATGTGTTTGGACTTATTTTTTACACTCTGGTTTTACAAATATGAAAAAGTTTAAATTAAAAATTTCTAAGGATCAATACCTAATTTATGACATAAAATCACAAGACTTACAAAATAAATATGAAAATATCCACAGTCCTCAAGATTGAAAGTTTTTAAAACATTTAAAGCCTGAGAGTCTGAAATCCTAAAAGGCTGAATAATCTTTATACACCCTTGAACATCTACAAGATTTAATATACATATTGTGTTTTGAAGGATTAAAAGTCTATATGATTTGCTTGTAAAATTCTTTAAAATGAAGGAGAAAATTCAGTGACATCTCTGATTATAGAAAGAGTAGGGAGATTTTATAACTAATTTCTTACAATCTAAACAGTGATATTAAGATTTTAATATCCTTATAATGAAGTTTTACATCCTTGTAGCAGGAACACAGAATATGCCATGCCTTTAATCTGAAAAATCAATCACAAATTGTTAAAGTTATGAAAATATAACCCATGAGAAAAAAATGGTATCCAAAAAGTGTGCTGATCTTTGATGTGAAGTTGATTGCAATCAAAATATATGAAGCTTGTTTAATCTAACCTATTTTTACATGAAGTTTGATAGAATATTAACATCCTTGAACATATTAAATATTTACCAAAGATATCCTGTAAAGTCTCACTTATCACAAATTTTGACAACAACTGAAAATAAAACATAATAAAAAATGTCCAAAAATCTATGTCTTACCTTTGTGTAACTTGGATGATTATCTTGTATAATGTATTTTCAACATATTATCTTGAACACTATTTAATCTGACTGAAGAAGTGTCCTGGAAAATCTTTTACTCCTTTGTGATGAACAAATTATTTGGATGATCAAAAATATTCAGTTATTTTACATCAAAATATCAGATCTTTAATCTGATTGAGACCTATTAAATTCAAAAAGTTCACATCACAAACAAAAGTATTTACAAACCATGAAAGTAATAATACGGCAAAGCTAGCTCAAACACAAAAAATTATGAATGATGAAAAATAAAAGGTTTAAATGTATACTTCTCTTACATAACAACTGTCTTCAAAAAAGTTAGTAAAAATAAATACATATATAATAAATAATATATATAATAATATATATATATAATATATATATATATAATAAAAAAAATAAATATAGATACTTTGAAGTTGGTGGATTAAATTCATGTTATCATAAAATCATGTTCAAACTTGATTTGACTAGATCTCAGTTTGATAAATGGCTACATCTAATAGTCAGTGTCTGACAGTAAAAGATACTATCCTGGGTATTATGTACACAGTTTCAATCCTTAAATTGGTTGGAAATCACATTTTCTATGTGCTTTTATTCCTCCATTGATTTTCTTGTTTCAGTGTTTTATATTCTGTTAGTCTTTGCATAATCTGATAGTCTTTCACCATGCTTCTTAAATCCTCCATCCACCTCCTGTTTGATTTTCTTGTTTCAGTGTTCCAAGAGAGGATATCCTGTTAGTCTTTGCATAATCTGATAGTCTTTCACCATTCTAAGAGTAGAGATACTTCCATAAGCCCTCATAGAATATCCTGAGAAAATAAAAATAATGTCTTAGTTGAAAAAAAAATTTTATTATGTAATATAAGCTTGATGGATGTTTATAGACAAAAAAGAGAAATATTTTTTTGACTTTTTATTAACCATGGGTAACACCTCCAGTAAAGAAAAGAGTAAAGGAATGTGTACAATTTTTGAAAAGAGAGTTCTATAGAGAAAGATGTACAAACATGGTTAAAATAAAAAAATAGATGCATTATTGAGATCATTTCTTTAATGCTTAATATAAAATATGTCCAGAAAAGGGTGATCCTAATGTTGTCAGAGATTACATAGAAAGATCCTTGATTGCAGAAGAAGCTAATGAAGAATATAACCATTTATTACCAAAAGAAGGTAAGAATTACTATTACAAAATTATGTATTCTGATAAGAAAGTTTTCACTTTCATTAATTGTGCTTTTGAAATTTTAATTGACCTTATGGTCAAGATTGTGATATATACACTCTGATAATCATTTATGATGCCTCCATGATGTTTACCTCAAAAGTTTGAATCAGGGTATTTGTTTTCAAAGAGCTGAAGAAACTATACAGACAGATCTATAATGATTTTGGAAGCATGCATATTAATTTTTATAACACTAGATTATTAAAAAGAAAAAGAACACAAACTCATAGAAAAATGAACAAAGTACTAATGATATTGAAAGTACCTTAAATGTTAAAGTGTCATGCTCCAAGGTATTATTTTTATAAACAGGAGAAGGGTTACAACAGTCCCATGCACTCATAAGAAGATCTTGGGTAATAGAAACACCAGGAAATTTTAATTCCAAACAATCAGGTCATCTTACATCAGTTATAAGGTTACAGACTTTATACATAGTCATAAGGGTCATTAAGATTTCTTTTCTGGTCATCCTAATGAACCACATTATAGTATTCTTTCCCTGTGATATAATGTTAATATTAAATGGAAAATTCAAATTCACCAGCAATTGAAGTGAAAATTGCTATCTTTACCAACTATGCTATTAAGGAAACTGGGGGTTAACAAATTAGCCATATTTAACTTATTCTATAGATAAGCTATCTTTAGCTGTTAACTATCATTTGGCACAGAAAAACTTCATACATTTTCATGTGATTTTAGTTTTAAAATTTGATCATGAATTTTTATGCCTTTTCTTGTGAAGGATATCAATATGGTTTAAACATGACCATGACCACCAAGCCCTCTTTATTTAAATATATCATTTATTTATCAATTCAAAAATATAAACATGCATATGTAACAAAAAAAAATAAATAAATAAATAAAAGTTACAATTGTATCTCATTGAAACTTTACCTTCAAGTTTGTGTGTTTCTATGTTGATTGATTAACTGTGTATTTCCAAAGGAAGAGCAGCCAGGCTTCACTTCATAGAGAATGGATTATAGATGGTTAGGAACAAAACATATCTTCCAGGTTGAGGACTGTATAGAAAAATAAATTCCATTTTTGTTATTATGATTTAAATTACATGAGACAATGCCTCTTATAAATGTAATGCAAAATAATATCTCTTATATATTTGGATACCTATACTCTAATCATATTAAATGTCATTTGTAAAATGTATTTTTTAAGACAGATTTATTTGAGGAGCGACTTTAAATGATGACATGAATAGCAGGCCATACTTTAAGCACATGACAAAAACATTCTCTCAAATTACACAGAAATGGGTTATTTAGCATAGCTGACATTAAACATATAGGTGAGTGATAACATAATCACAATCATAAACAATGTGAAACAACTTTAAAAGACCTACACTGTGGATTACAAGCCTTTTTCACTGGGGTAAAATCTTGCCGAAATTCGTCATGGCCGCCCGAAACCCCGAACCCGACTGTATAAAAGATGAAGTCATACATTCCATGTTGATGACTGTAGAATAAAAGCATTTTTTTAATATGACAGAGTACTGCATGAAACAATGCATGTTTAAATACAACATGTACAATGTCAAAAAAGATCATGAAAATATTTGTGTTTAGACTCAAAACAAATTGTTTTTAACATTAACTCGAGATGAGAAAAGTTCATCATGTTATTTATAGATAATAAACAAGCACAACTAATGTATTAATATCACAAAATAAAATGATTATCAAATTAATTATTTAGACACTAAAAGACTTTTTTCTTAACAGCAGATTCAATTTTGGTTTAATAGCTATCAGTAATGCATACAGAAAAATACATCTTTTTTAGCATATACAACATGTAGTCCTTCATTTTTTTTTTTTTTTTTTTTTTTTTTTTGAAAAGCTTAAGAAACAAAAGTGAAAATGAAAATATATGTATAGCATATATCACACATATTTAGAATCAAAACAAAAAGTAAATGACTTAGAATTAATCTTTTGTAAATTCCTCCTTTTCTCTTATTAGATTCCTAATTAATATCTCTTTGATCACCATTTAGTAAGTCTGAATTCCATGGGTAACATACATAATGAATTATGAAATTATATCATGATTTATATGAATGTAAGTTAATAGAGACAACATATCACATACATGTAAGTATTACACAGTCATTAAATTAACCATATAATCATGCTTAAATGCAAAGATGACCTTCATAGGGAATGTAAACAATTATAAAAAAAAAAACAAGACAAACTTACCAGAGATATCCAAATATATGCCCAATAAGCCTATCCATTAAATAATCCAGTGATTGATTACATCTCAGCTGATCCTGAAAAAAATCATACAATTCAGTGATACACAATTAACCTCATTTAACAATGTAAGTAAAGCAAAGTAATTTACAGACAAAAAGGATAGAAATGTAAAAGATACCATGTATTTTACCAAAATTTAGTGAACATTTTTCTGATTGAAATTCAATCATAGAATGACCCATCATAGAATTATTAAATGCACTCTGAGTTACATGCAGGCTAAACAACTGTAAATCACATGAAATGAGGATAAATATAGTATTTACATTCAAAACAGAACTTTACATATAAATCATGGTTAAATACAAAGATGACCTTCATATAGGAAATGTAAACAAAAATAAGACAAACTTACCTGTGGAATAGGTCTGTCAGAAAGGAGATTTCAAAAATGAACACGCTCTCAACATTCACATGACAAGAATGCATCAGGATGTTTACTTCCGTGGTCATGGAAAAATTGAGCTTTATACAAGGAAAGCTTCACAGTAGGAAAATCATCAAAGTAAACAAAAGATAGTCTTACATTTTTTTGAAAATCTAAGTTGACTTCTTAGAAACAAAAGTGAAAATGAAACTTTAATTTTACAAGTGTATGACGTCATAATGCATAGGGTAGCTCGCTGACATGGATGACGTCACAATGCATAGGTAAGTTTGTTTTTTTTTGCACACGGCCCTAAACAAACTTGGCTCGCTGCCAAGTATTTACCTGTGTAGTCAGCATATTTTTTGCACACGGTCCCCTGACTTGAATCGCTGCCAAGTATTTACCTGTGTAGTCAGCATATTTTTTTTGCACACGGCTCTAAACAAACTTGGCTCGCTGCCAAGTATTTACCTGTGTAGTCAGCATAAAAAAAACGTAGTACCTACGTACCAATGTAAACAGTGTAAACAACTCCAGTATTTAAGGGGAATAGGTTAGGGTTAGTTAGGGGGTTAGGGTTAGTTAGGGTTAGGGTTAGGGTTAGGGGGCTAGGGGATAGGGTTAGTTAGGGTTAGGGGTTAGGGTTAGGGTTAGGGCTAGGGGTTAGGGTTAGTTAGGGCTAGTTAGGGATAGGGGGTTAGGGTTAGCACTCCACTCAGTTGACCCATTTTTGAACCTCATTTACATAAAAAGTGCACTCAGTTGAACCCCCCGGTTAGACCCGTGAACACCCTAGCGGGACCCCTTATACTACTGACGGTTTCTTGAATTCGCGGTATTGGTATATGATAGAAGTTTCTTATGTATACCTATTGAAAACTTATTCACTGTTTCTAATTCACGGATCCATTAACACCGTGAATATAGCGAATATTAACACCGCGAGTTATTTCCCCCTATACAGTAAACTGTTTGTGAGATCCGGGCCTGTAAGAAGTATGTCATTCAACGGTACTCTTCCGTACTTAGCTGAAGAGTCGAATGCGGCACACAGTTGATTTGGCTGGTAGACTCCAAATGGTAGACTCCAAATATTGGTAGATACCAGCGCTCACTGTCATGTGGGATTACTGGCGCTTTTTTGCATGTGCATTTTCAAATATACCACACAAAAATTAGAAGAAGTGTTCTCTCTTCACAGGGTCAAGTCTCAGGCTTGACTCGAGTGTTTTGGCTCTTTGTATAGCTTGGGGATTTGTTATTAGGTATCTTGAAGTTCCGATTGCGAAATGGAAGGGGTGCTGACCAATTACCGTCTTCATTCATGTGCAATCCATTATTCATGATCTTAAGAAATGTTCTGTCATCTGTGGACAGTCCAGGCTTGTCAGATTCTGTCCTAAGAAATATGTCTTTTTTGAGTTTAACAAAGTGAAACAGCATGGTTTCACTTTCTTTGCCCTGTTGACTTTTTTCAAAGGTGTGGTCTGTCCGCTCCCCACCATGCGATGTCTGTCCTCTGCTCTGTTCTGAAACTGCATGAAGGGCTGTCGGATGATTTTTGGCCTTGAAAATGTCACATGAAACGACAATGGAACAGTTTACTGCCACGTGAAAGCCTGCACAACACTTAAAACATATTCCTTTATCCTTAACTATCTTTCTTCTTATTGCAATTGGTTTTGCACGAAAAATGATCTGCATTTGTTGAGCGGGTGCCCTGTGTTGTGTATAGGGCATACCGTCCCCGGTGAGCCTGAAACTTGAAGATCCGTTTTATGTGATGTCACTCTAAATCCAGGTTTTTCCGGTGGCTTCTGTCGTGAAGCAGGTGGACTGGTAGTTGTTAATTCATACTGGAGTGTTGAGTTGTTTCTAATTTTGCTTGTTCTCTAACAAAGTCGCAGAATGCAGAAAATGGAGGATGTAATGTATTATGCCTCTTGTTTTACTGAGGTGCTGTTGTTGTCCACTGTTCTTGTAGCATATATGGCAGTTTACATACTATTTGGCCAATCCCGATAGTTTGTCAAAATACGAAAACATAGACGCGTACAGGTCCTCCTTCAACGCTTCAATTTCTGCAAGGATGTCGGAGAAGTCATACAGTTTCATAAAGTCTTTGGCAAGTTTTGGAAAGGACGCTAATTTATTTTTCAAGGCGCTGTCAATCATTTCTGGTCTGCCTTATCGTTCCCAGTTTCGTTTGAGTCCGAGAGCTGGGTTTCGTGTATGGGCTTTCGCGCAGACTAAGTACGTACATTAAGTTATGCCTCCGGTGTTTTTCACAAGCATAACAATTTCATCGGTGGCGATTGCTCCAATTTTTTGAACAACATTCTTTAAACTTGATTTCAAAGACACACATCTGTCTTATCTGTAATACGCAGCTATGAAAGAAAGAATAGCTGTCCAGAATGCTGCTATTGGAAAGGAAAACGCAGAGTTGGACCTTATCCTTGAATTTTTTTTATCTTTCGCGTTTAACGGACTATGGTGTCGACAGTGAATTATAAATTTCGTCTTTTTAGAAGCAAGTTGAATGTAAAAACAATTTATTTTGTCTGCAGTTGCCCGTATCTAAAAAATATTTTTGCACAATTACGGAGATGCTGTGGAGTTAAGCCCTCTCCAGAAAACATCAGATAAAAAATCGGAGAGGGCTACATTATTCCAACTATAAAAAGCCCTAGCCCTAAAAGTTTGCAGTGTAGGATTTTTCCTTTCGGAATTCCAAAAGCACCTTCAAAATAATAAATTTAAATGAATTATACAATTGATTAATCATAATGTAAGTTAAAAATTATTCCAAAAAATTATGAGGAGAATTGAATCATAGAAATGTACTTATTTAATTATGATGCCTACTTTATTATGATGACTATATGTGAAAGATACGTACCGGTATAACATCCTCTCTAATTATTTCCAAAAATAAGCCCAATGTTGCTTTTTAAAACATATGTTGCAGTATGAACCAGTAACTAACTGGTGGACGTTTTCTTTTTTAACTTACCAGGCAAACACGGATTTGTCCGTTTTTTTCTGAATGCAGCTTTTGAATTAAATGTTGTTCAATAGGCTTCCACCCACGATTTTCATAGTTGATGTCTTTGTTGCATAAAATACATATGGCTATTCCATGCTCAATGGTCTGCCGAACATTTTCTGATATTTTTGCGTCTACAACCAACTCGCGATAGCCAATGCCGTTTCCAAGTGTTTTTAATAATACTATTGTCAACAACTTTCTCATCATGGTCTGGCTGGACGAACTGCGCCATGACCATGAGTGTTACGAAATCACAATCATCCCGACGTTTGCGTTTACTATATTTGGATATAAAAGCAAACCTCTGGCTCATGCTGATCACGAATTAAACACATTAATATTTTTACAACGGATAGAAACGGACAAAAACGGGACATTATCGCAGAAAAATAGAAAAGAGCTGACATATCGGAAAATATTTGTTAATATCGGATTCTTGGAAGTAGTACAGTGTGAGACATTATATCCAGGATTGAGGTTAAAAAAAATGGAGGTTCAGTGTAAACCAGAAAGGTAAT